TGTACGCCGAGGCGCGCGTGGTCAGGGCAGCGGAGTGACGCGGGCACCGCAGGCCATGAGGCCCCGCGGGCTGGTCTCGGATGGATTGCCGAGGCACGGCGTGGTATCCGCCGTGCTCGATCTGCTCCCGCTCCGCTCCTGCGGGTCTTTCTCCTGATCTTCCTGTCTTCCGCTTCCCCTCCCCACCCCTCCTCGCCCCCCTCCTCGCCCCCTCCTCGCCCCCTCCTCCTCCTCCTCCTCCTCCTCCTCCTGCTTCTTCCTCCTCCTCCTCCTCCTTTTCCTTCTCCTTCTCCTTCTCCTTTTCCTTCTCCACCTCCTCCTCCTCCTCCTCCTCCTCCTTCTCCTTCTCCTTCTCTGGGGCCGTGGCCCCTCTTGGTGCAGTGCTGGGACATCTTGAAGAGCTCGCCGGGTGCTGCCAGGACGTCCTGGGGCCTGCCGTCTCAGGGCCCCCCGGGGTGCCTCCCCGGACTCCCCAGAGATCCGACGCTCCAAAAAGATGTTTGAGGAAACGTATGGCTCACCAACCACACACCCAGATCGGTCAGGGCTTCCGTCGCCCTGCTCCTGCTGGTGCCTGCCCGTCTGTCTCCCCCTCCTGCCCTCCTCCGCCGGGGGCTGAAGCCTTTCTGGGCCAAGCTGGGGGTCGGGATCCTCCTCCTCCTCCTCCTCCTCCTCCTCCTCCAGCTCCTCCTCCTCCTCCTCCTCCTCCTCCTCCTCCTCCGCCTCCGCCTCCCCCCCCATCCTGGGTCCCCTCCAGGACCCACAGCCCGCGCGCGCGGCCACGGTGCTGCGCGGTTCTCGGAGGCGCCGGCGTTGCGGGGTGGCGGAGGCCTGGCGCCCAGTGGCGCCGGCTGTCGTGGGCTGCAGCGGCCTCCGCGGCGCCGACATGCTGGGCCTCGCGGCGGGTGCCGCCGTGCCCATCGCCCGCGGATCAGCGTGGAGCTGGGCCGCAGCCCGCCGGCCCGGGCGCCGCGGGCCCGACCGCGGCGGAGGAGGGCGCGTCCGAGGAGCACCTCGCGCTGCAGCGGGTGTGCTGCACCTGGCCCTGCGAGGGCCGGGGCGGGGACGAGGACGACGGCGGAGCATCGGGCCGTGGCGTGCCCCCCCCCCCCCCCTCAGGGAAGCTCCGGCGGAACTCCCTCCGACGTGCAGCAGGTGCCGCCGGGGGAGCCAGTGGCTCTCAGGGGGGGAGAGCGGGAGCGCATGGGGATCCCGACGATGCGGACATTTCCTGGACAGAGGGTTGGGGCTTCGGGGCGCTGATCTGGAGGAGACTTGGGAACGCCACCTCTTGGAGGTATCGAGGGAGTGGGGGGAGGCGACTTCGAGTCCCTCGGTAGCTTGCGCCAGGTCTGTTCCGCCCGTGAGGAGGCTGGCTGGCTCAGGACCGACGGCGGGTGGATCCTCTGCGGCATGGATCAGGTCGGCGTCTGGCCTTTCGGCGCTGCCTGGCCTGCTGTCGCTTGGGGCGGGGCCTCCTGCTGACGACGGGGGTCGTGGCGCCCTCGCCGCCCGCAGCTTGCGGGCCCTCTTCGCGCCCTGCAGCTGGGCAGCCTGGGAGCTGGGCGTCACCGTCATCCGCTTCGCGCGGTGGTGCCCCAGGCGCTGGGGGCCGGGCGATGCTGAGTTGGACAAGCTCCCGCCGCCAGCGACCGTCTACTGGAAGGGCCCTGGCACTGGGCAGGACACCGCCGCAGAGTACCTGCGGAAGTACAGCAAGGAGGGGAAGGGGTCCAAGAGGCGCGTGAACGAGCTGCTGATCCGCAAGGGCGAGCAGGTCGCCAGGCTGAAGCTGGACCTTCAGGACCCAGAGCGCATCAACCGGCTTGGGCTCTGGGTGGCCTACTCCACGGTCATCGGGTCCAGCAGACATTCCCTTCGGAAGGCGTTTCGGACCAGCCCAAGTGGGTGCACCTGTGCCGTTGGAAGGAATGCTCGACCTGGGCTACCACTCGAAGATGTCGGCCTGCCGCATCTGCGTCCTCGTCTGAAAGAGATGCTTCTGGGCTTGCCGAGTTTGCCCGGGCGCTCTGACCTGCTGCGGGTCTTGCATCTGCCGCCGGCGCCGCCGCCGTCGCGCTGCGTCTGGCGCTGCGGAGCCTGGCGAGCAAGGGGCAGTGGCCAGCTTCCTTGACCAGGAGTCGGAGTCGGAGGTTGAGTCGATGGAGCGGCCCTGCCAAGCGGTTCGCGTGGGCATCCTCAAGAGCGGGGTCGTGCGCCCCTTGGCGCCAAGGGGCTGCCAGGGCGCTGCCGACTCCACGCCGACTACCTTGCTCGTGGAGGACGGCCGAACCTCTGACCTACCTGCACCGAGCGCAGGCACCAACGCGATAGCCCCCCTGTGCTCGCACCGCCGGCAGGTCTACGTCACCGCGAGGTACCAGGACAAGTGCTCGCACGTGACGTGCTACCAGCAGCCCGCGAATTCCGATCTCCGGCGTCCCGGCTCAGCCGAAGAGCCGCGCGCCTGAGCCGACGCCCGGGCCCTGCCCCGCCACAGGCGCCACAGCCAGCCCCCCCGGTACCAGAGCCAGTTCGGCCGCCTCATGTACGTCTTGGACGCGCCGAGGAAGGAGCTCCGCCAGGCGATGACCACTACCTTTTGCGGGTGCATGTTCACTGGCCGGAGGGCGCGAAGTGGGTGCCGTTCCGTGGCGGGCGCGCTGGGTCAGGCACCGCCGCAGCTCTAGCCGACTACGCGTGCGGCGCCCTCCCCATTGTGGCTGAGGGGCCCGACGAGATGAAGATGCACTTCTGGGTCAGGGCGGGGGGCATCGCGGAGCCCCCTCCCCCGGGGCCCTCAGGGCGCTTGTCGACGGGGTTTCTCGACGAGCTCCTGCAGCATCCGCCCATGGGGTTGGCCGAAATCGGAATGGACGTCTCTGCCACGCCTATCCTGGAGAGGGCGTGGCAGAAGCTGCTGGCGTGGCATGGGCGACCCGTGGGAGGCCGAGCGGCGCCACTACCTTCCAGCCAGTGGCAACGGGCACATCATGGTTCCGTGGCATCCTGACGGAGGAGTGGCGTCCAAGCCTGAGCTCGACCAGGGGGTGGCAGCAACCGACAGCAAATTGAAGACCCACCCCAGACCCCCAACGTCGTGATTTTTCCACAACGTCGACCCCAAGAGGTCTGGACCCCTTCCCCGGGACCGGTTCTTCATCCCGAGTCGTTTTTTGACGGTCCCGGGGCCCGGCGAGGGCCCCGAGGGGCCGAAAATAGCGAAAAACCTCCCGTCGTGATTTTTTCACGACGCCAGGGGGTCTGGGACTGGAGACGCCTCGACCGCAGCGGCTCTCCGAAGCCGCCGGCGGGGGGGGGGCTCGGGCACGCGGCCCTCCCGCTGGCGGCCGCAGCTCGAGGTCGCCCTCCACGGACCGGCTCACCTCCCACCTCCCAGGGCAGCCGGGCGGAGGAAGGCGCCCGCGACGCGGTGCTGGCCCGGCGCGTTGCCGAGAGAGAGAGAGAGAGAGAGAGAGAGGGAGAGAGAGAGAGCGAGAGGCCCAGACCTCCGCGCGTCGTGAAAAAGTCACGACGGTAAGTTTTTCACGATTTTCGGCCTCCGGGGGCCCTTACCGGGCCTCGGGAGCGTCAAAAAACGACTCAGGACGAAAAGCCGGTCCCGGGGAAAGGGCCCAGACCTCTGGGGGTCGACGTTGTGAAAAATTCACAACGTCGGGGGTCTGGGGAGAGAGACGGCGTGGAGCAAGCGAAGAAGGAGCACTGCAGAGTGTGGGCGCGGGCTTCGGCATCGAGCCCATCGGGTTGATCGACCAGCTCTCCCAGTGCGCCGACGGGCGGCTCCAGCACGTGGGCGAGGAGTCCGATCAAGCGGCGCTTCACGGGCACCTCCACAGGTGGAGCGACAGGCGGTCCAGCGCTGCTGTGGAAGCAGACCCTGCGAAGCGGAGCTTGGACGGGCTGCTGAAGCTGGGCCCGACAGCCGCCGGCACTTCGAGGGGCCCTGAGGCGCTGGCCGCTGGCCCGGCCACGGCGCCTCTGGCCACGGGCCCCCCCTTGGCTGGCGGCCCCCGCTGCCCTGGCGCCGGGGAGCGGGAACGTCCGAGCAGCCTCGCGGCCAGTGCCCCCTGCAGCGGCGGCTCGGAGCACCCTGCCGGCGAGCGCGCTCTGCCAGTGCGGGCACGGAGGTTCGGCCCCCGTGAGCTTGGCTGTCCCGCCTCGAGGGCCTCTTCGCGGCTGAGAGCACCAGCGAGATCAGGCACAGGCAGGCGCTGCACGCGCTGGAGAACTTGCGGAGGCACGACGACGACGAGAAGGTCGCGCAGAAAGGCACGTCGGCTTCGATCAGGAAGGCCGAGGAGCTGGACGTGTACCTGGCCCGTGGCTGCGACGAGTTGACCGCGGAGGCTCGCAAGGCGCTGGAGGGGCGCGACCTCGTCCATGGCCCGCGGAGGAGGGCTTTCGAGCAGGACGCGCAGACGATGGTCTACGTAGAGTTCCCCACCACGGTATCGAATCGGATCGCTTACGCCTGTGCGTGCTTGGCGCTCGGCGGCCCCAGCATGAAGACGTCGGCCTCTTGGTCGGCCAGTGCGGCCGACTTCCCGACTTGCCGCGCGGAGGGCTTCAACAACTACGCCCTGCCGAACGACGTCATGCTCGAAACCAGGCCTGGGGCGCCCACACTCTTGGCCCAGTGGGCCACGCAGGCCGAGAACCAAACCGGGCTGCTCGGGCTCGTGTGCGGGGCCGAGCCTGTCAAGGAGAGGCTCAAAGTGCCCGTAGAGCCTGCGGAGCGCCCGCGAGAGGGACAGCGACGGGTCCCCGTCCGACTTGGTGTGCGGTCTCTGGGAAGCGTTTTTTTTTTTTTTTTTTTTTTTTTTTTTTTTTTTTTTTTTTTTTTTTTTTTTTTTTTTTTTTTTTTTTTTTTTTTTTTTTTTATATATATATATATATATAAAAAAATACTTCTTCTTCTTTGTTGTGTATATATATATATAGATATTTAAATTAAATCATATAAGTATAAGTATCATAGCTATAACCTTATCATTTTACTATATATACATATACATTTACATTTACATTTACATCTACATATATATATATATATATATATATATAACCGTGGGCGCGACCGCGGTGCCAAGGGCAGCACTGAGCTGCCGTGGACTGCCCAGGCGGTGCAGCTTCGAGGAGCTAAGCAGCCAGGGAAACATGTCCTCGTGGAGCGAGCAACTCAGGGCGCAGAGGCGGGCGCTCTGCCTGGCGGTCCAAGACCACTGCGCCGCGCAGGGAGGACCTCAAGACGGCAGCTGAAGGGGCCCTGGGGCACACAACTGATTACACACAGATAAAAAGATTGCCCATATTTTCAAATATTTTCGGGGTTTCCGTCTCCCCCCCCCACTTCCCATATTTTTTTATATTTTCGGGGGAATCGACGATTAATTGTGTCTGTGTGTTTTTTTCCCTCCTGTGCAGCCCCCGCTCCTCGAGCAGACGGGCGAGCTGCCTTCGCCTTCCCCGGCGCGTTCGACGTGGAGCCCCCCCGAAGGGTTACTACCAGACAGTGGCCAGCCCCGACAGGGGCGCCAGCTTCAGAAGTTCCTGAAACAGGGCGTCCTTGGGGCCCAGGTCAGCTCGCGCAAGGCAGGGGGGCTATCCGAAGCGAAGGGCCCCGAGAACGCCACGCTCCAGCGCGCCCCCCAGGACAAGATGGGGCGCGCCATCTGCTGGGGCGCCTCGACGTGGGTGGGACGCGAGACCCAGACCTCCGACGTTGTGATTTGTTCACAACGTCGACCCCCAGAGGTCTAGACCCCTTCCCCAGGACCGGTTCTTCATCCTGAGTCGTTTTTTGAGGCTCCCGGGGCCCGGTGAGGACCTCCAGAGGGCGAAAATAGCGAAAAACTTCCCGTCGTGATATCTTCACGACGCGAGGAAGTCTGGGGAAGGAGGCCAGGGAATGCCCGCACTCTCACGAGGCGACCGCCTCCCTCGGCGGGTGCCCCTGGACGGCCCGGGATCCCCGCTGCCGCGCCGGGGCGGGCTGCGCAAGGGGACCAGGGTGGGCCCGGCGCCGGTGGGTGGGCGGATCGCCCGACTGCGAGCCCAGAGATCCAACGTGTCGAAGAAATCTGGACGGGCGCTTTTCGCAGTTTTCGGTCTCCAGGGGCCCTCGCCGGGCCTCGGGGCCGTCAAAAAACGACGCGGGATGACAAACCGGTCCTGGGGAAAGGGTCGGGACTTCCGGGGGCCCCGTACTGAAAAAATCACGACGTCGGATCTCAGGGAGCACAGGCCAGGACGGGGGAGGACAGGAAACGTGCCGCAGGGGCTGGCGCCCGCGCGCAGGCTCACCGCTGCGCTGGCGCTGGTCGAGGCTGGGCGCATCCCGCTGAGTGCGGCCAGATCGAAGGAGAGAGCGGACGCCGTGCTTCCAGAAGCCGCGCGGTCGCTGCCCGAGGAAACGGCGAGCGCGCTGCTCGAGGCGGTGGCCAAAGCTGTGGGCGACGACTCGCCAAACCCAGACCTCCGACGTCGTGATTGTTTCACAACGTCGACCCCCATAGGTCTGGACCCCTTCCCCGGGACCTGTTTTTCATCCTGAGTCGTTTTTTGACGGCCCCGAGGCCCGGGAAGGGCCCCCAGAGGGCGAAAGTAGCGAAGAACCTCCCGCCGTGATTCTTCCACGGCGCGAGGAGGTCTGGGAAAAAGCCCTGGGCGACGGCCCGCCAGAGATTGCTGGCTGCCGCGACCCGGCGGAGGCGGCGGCTTGGGACCCAGACCTCCTCGAGTAATGAAAAAATCACGACGGGAGGTTTTTCGCCATTTTCGGCCTCCGGGGGCCCTTACCAGGCCTCGGGAGCGTCAAAAAACGACTCAGGATGCAAAACTGGCCCTGGAGAAGGGGTCCAGACTTTGGGGGTCGACGTTGTGAAAAAATCACGACGTCGGGGGTCTGGGGAGGCCGCGAGGCGCTGGCGGAGGCCCCGGGCCGAGGCCCACGAGGCCGCGCGTGCCAGCGAGGCCGTCGGCCGCCCAGAGCGGGGCCGGGCCGCAGGGCGGGCGGCCGCCCTGTGCGACGAGGCGCCGGGAAGGGCGCCAGGGGAGCCAGGGCCCCAGACCTCCTCGCGCCGTGAAGAAATTCTCCTCCTCCTCCTCCTTCCTTCCTCCTCCTTCCTCCTTCTCCTCCTTCCTCCTCCTCCTCCTCCTCCTTCCTCCTCCTCCTCTTCCTCATCCTCCTCCTCCTCCTCCTCCTCCTCCTCCTCCTCCTCCCTCATGTTGTGTGTGTGTGTGTGTTGCTCGTGATGTTGGGCCTCCGGGGGCCCTTCCCGGGCCTCGGGGCTGTCGAAAAAAGACTCGTGTTGAAAAACCGGTCCCGGGGGAGGGGTCCAGACCTCTGGGGGTCGACGTTGTGAAACAATCAACACGTCGGAGGTCTGGGGGGTGAGGTTCCGACAGATTGAGGACGATCTGACCCAGGGCCCGTCAGACCCCCCAGACCCGAACTCGGTGGAGCTAGCGGTCGCCCAGCCGCCCAAGAAGCCAAGAAGCAGCGTCGCGGCAAGAGGGCCGCGCGCATGCGCCACCGCCGATCAGTATCACTCGGGCACCCGCTGGTGACGCCCCGAGCATTGGGGCAGAGTTAGGCGGGGCTCCCCATGGCGGACCGGCCGGCGATGGGGGGGCGAAGACTACGCGGGGTGATTCGAGGAGCAGAAGCGCGAGGCCCTGATGCAGCGCCTGAGCAAGGGCACCCGCGAGGGGCACGGAGCTGGGTGGCGCCAGTGGCTGATGCGCCGCAGCGCCCAGCAGGAGTCGCCGCGGCTCGATGGGCGTGCCCAAGCCGAGCGCAAGGCAGACGAGGACGCCTTGATCGGCTTCGCGATCGTCCCGGCGCGGGTCCTCGGGCGCACTGTCGGGGCGGTGAAGCAAAAGCTCTTCGCCAGCAGGTGCGCGCACCTGGTCCCAAACCCCCGACGTCGTGATTTTTTCACAACGTCGACCCCCAGCGGTCTGGACCTTTTCCCCGGGACCGGTTTTTCATCCCGAGTCGTTTTTTGACGGCCCCGAGGCCCGGCGAGGGCACCCGGAGGCCGAAACTAGCGAAAAACCTCCCGTCGTGATTTCTTCCCGACGCGAGGAGGTCTGGGGCACCTGGTGGTGGGGGCGCGGCGACCCGCTGCTCCGCAGAGCCCGCCTGTGGTCGACCCTGGCCAAGCTTCAGCGATGGCAGGGGCCCAGCGGCCGCGAGAAGCCAGCGGCCCCGCGGATGCTCCCCCTGGCCATCGCTTGGGCGTCCGCTCCCCGTGTTTTTGTCGGTTTCGTGCGCGGTTTTTTCGCCAAATGATCAAGGATGCTCCTCGATGGCCCTCGCCGCAGGAACAATGCACACGTCCGAGCGATGCCAAGCCCCTGGCTCCGGGACCTCCTTCGGGAGAGGGCGGAGCTCGAGGCCCCGGGCGCGGCGGTGCTGTGGCTGGCGCTCAACCTCGCCTTCTGCTTCATGTTGAGGGCTTCCAAGTACCTTGTCCAGGGCCGGAGCCGGGGCATCGGCCGCGTGCTGCGTGGCGAGGGCCTGGAGGGCCGTGACGAAGACGACAGGGGCGTGGTCTTCTTCGAGGACGCCGTGGAGGTCGTGATCAACATCAAGGGGTCGAAGACTGACCTGTACAACGTGGGCTGCGTGGGGAGCCAATGCCGCGCTGTTGCTGCGCTGTGCCCGGTGCTCGCCCTGGAGCTCTGCGAAGAGCAGTTCCCGGGGCGGCTGAGGGGAGCGAGAAGGGCCAGCCGTTGCTCGGGTGGACCAACGGTTACTACATCAAGCGGGAGGAGGTCCAGCACTGCCTGGTGGTGGCGGCCCTGGCCGCGGGGATGAAGCGCGACCCAGACCCCCGACGTCGTGATTTTTTCACAACGTCGACCCCCAAAGGTCTGGACCTCTTCCCCGGGCCCGGTTTTTCATCCTGGGTCGTTTCTTGGCGGCCCCGAGGCCCGGCGAGGGCACCCGGAGGCCGAACATAGCGAAAAACCTCCCGTCGTGAATTTTTTTCACAGCGCGAGGAGGTCTGGGGAGGAAGTGGGGTCCCGAAGTCTGCGGATCGGCGGGGCCACGTCGACATACCGCGTCGCCGACGACCTCCATATGGGGTGGCGGCGAAGCAGGCGGCAGGGGGGCAGGTCGCGCTCCCGAGCGATCAGCACGGCGCAATGTCGCTGCAGCTGTCCTAGGGCGGGTTTCACTTCGTCCTGGTGATCCACGCGGGCCTGGCGCTCCATGGTGCTGGTGGGCTGGCTCGCCGGCAAGTGGTGCTGCGGCAAGCCGGCTGAGGAGAAGCAGTGCGTGGGCAAGCGGCAAGAAAGAGCAGGCAAGGCGAAACGCTCGAAGAAAAACTGCTGCGATGCAGGGGTGCAGGGACCCGTGCACTGCAGCGTGGCGCAGAGCAGGTACGTGCACCTGTGCCAAGGCTTCCACTGGGGGTTCGAGGCGACGCCGCAGCGGGCCTACCCACGGAAGCAGCACCAGAAGTGAGAGATGCGTGCGCAGTGGCTGCGATGACCGGGGGGCCTCAAGCAGCCAGAGCGCCGGCTCGAAGCCAGGCGCGAGGGGTGCTGGGGGCAAGGCTCGAGGCCCCCTCCGGTCCAGTGGGGGCGGCCGCTCCGCGACCGGCTGCGCCGCTGGCCGAGCTGGGCCGGGCGGCGGCAGGTGCCGCGCTCGGCGCGCGCCTGGATGCGTGCGCCCGGCGCACAGCGCAGGGGCCGGGCGCTCAGGCACAGCGCAGGCCCACAACGCGCAGCTGGGCCACGAGGCGCGTGGGGCGCCAGCAGCCGGCCGTCCGGGCGCTGGAGGCGGGCGGCAGGGCAGCTGCCCGGCGCCAGGCGCCAAGCGCGAGGGGCGCGGGCGCCGGCCGGGCGCACGGCACGGCCCGCCTGGCGCGGGAGGTGCGCGCCGGCGAGCGTGAGGCAGCCCTGACTTCGGATCCGCCCTGCTTTGGGGAAATTCGTAAGTAGGGCCTGGACTTTCCGCCTTACTTTTCAGGCCCCGCTGATGCCAATTTCCGCCCTACTTTTCTGTTGCTGTTTCCGCCCTGCTTCTGTGGATTTCCGCCCTACTTTATGTTGGGTGCAGAAATCTCCGCCCTACTTTTTCGGCTTCTTATAGGTGGATTTCCGATGCAATTTTAAGTGGGAAAAAAAGCCAAAGCAGGGCGGATTTGGAGTCGGGGAGGGGGGCGGCGAGGGCCTCTGCGAGCCCAGGCCTCCTCGCGCTGTGGATGACAAAATCGCGACGGGAGGTTCTTCGCTATGTTCGGCCTCTGGGGGTCCTCGCCGGGCCTCGGGGCCGTCAAAAAACGAGCCAGGATCCCCGGGACCGATTTTTCATCGATGAAAAACCGGTCCCGGGGAAGGGGTCCAGACCTCTGGGGGTCGACGTTGTGAAAAAATCACGACGTCGGGGGCCTGGGAGTGGCGGAAGACTCGGGGCCGGCCATGCGGCCGGCAAGCCTGTGGCAAAGCAGGGGTCAAGGTCATCATCATCTGGCCGCTCATTGCCACCGCCTCTCCTGTCCTCCTCCTTGAGCCCTGGGTGTGGGCTCGAATCTTTTGTCGATGCTGAGCTGCTGGTGTGGTTAGCTTGGCCGTGTTCGCCTCTCGGGGCCTTCGCTGGGCTTCGGGAGCGTCAAACCCAGACCCCCGACGTTGTGATTTTTTCACAACGTCGACCCCCAGAAGTCTGGACCCTTTCTCCGGGGCCAGTTTTGCATCCTGAGTCGTTTTTTGACGGTCCCGAGGCCTGGTAGGGGCCCCCGGAGGCCGAAAACAGCGAAAAACCTCCCGTCGTGATTTTTTCGTGACGCCAGGAGGTCTGGGAGGATCGGCCCTGGACGAAAAGCCGGCCCCAGAGAAGTGGTCTGGACCTCCGGGGCCCACGCCTGGAAAATATTGGAGCAACGGGATGTCTGGGTCGTCTTGCCTCCGCGCCCGGTCTTCCCTCCGGCTGCCCGGCCCCGCCCTGAGCGGGCCGGGCGACCTCCCCCCTCCTGCCCGCGGCGGGCGTCCTTCTCCCCCCCCCCCCGGTGCATCCCAGACCTCCTCGCGTCGTGAAAAAATCACGACGGGAACTTTGTCGCTATTTTCGGCCTCCGGGGGCCCTTCCCGGGCCTCGGGGCCGTCAAAAAACGACCCAGGATGAGAAGCCGGTCCCGGGGAAGGGGTCCAGACCTCTGGGGGTCGACGTTCCCAGACCTCCTCGCGTCGTGAAAAATCACGACGGGAGGTTTTTGACTATCTTCGGCCTCCGGGGGCCCTCACCGGGCCTCGGAAGCGTCAAAAAACGCTTCAGGACGAAGAACCGGTCCCGGGGAAGGGGTCCAGACCTCTGGGGGTCGACGTTGTGAACAAAATCATGACATTGGGGGTCTGGGTTGTGAACAAAATCGCGACGTCGGGGGTCTGGGGTGCATGGCGGCCCGATTCGCGTTCTGTGCATGCCACTCCCGCTCCATCGCCGGCGCAGTGACTCTGCCTGGCCGCCGACGTATAGAAGTCCGAGGCGCCCTCGCGCCCAGGCAGCGAGCCCAGACCCCCGACGTTGTGAATTTTTCACAACGTCGACCCCCAGAGGTCTGGACCCTTTCCCCGGGACCGGTTTTTCGTCCTGAGTCATTTTTTGACGGTCCCGAGGCCCGGTGAGGGCCCCCGGAGGCCGCAAATAGCGAAAAACCTACCGTCGTGATTTTTCCCCATATCCTAAGATGGGGTTCTTGTTATTGGCGGACCGCGCCGGAGGAACTCACCCTCACCTCCTCCTCCCTCCTCATCACTCAGACTCACTCATCACGCAGACTCATTCAATCACTCAGACTCACTCATCATCCAGACTCACTCATCTCTCAGACTCACTCATCACTCAGACTCACTCATCAATCACTCAGACTCACTCATCACTCAGACTCACTCCTCACTCAGACTCACTCATCATCACTCAGACTCACTCATCACTCAGACTCACTCACCACTCAGACTCCCTCATGCTCAGTTTCACTCAGACTCAGTCATCACTCAGACGCACTCATCACTGAGACGCAGT